GTGTTCTACATATATGCCTGTGATTCATTATTACAGCAAATAACTTGCCCTACAATAATTATAATTATACTTCCATTGTTTTTGTATATCCATGCTTGTTCTCGTTATATCAAAGTAGTTTCAAAATGCCGACATAACATATCAAATAACTTGAGAGTAAAATATTTCTTCTGGCTCAGAATGGTATAATTAGTAAGGCTATTAATAAGGCACAATAGATCACTGTGGTCGCGGTGCAAGGGCCAAGAAAGCCCACCCCTTATACATTCATTCATATACATTCAAGGCTATTAATAGCAGCTTTCTTTACAGAATGCCAAGATTACGTAATACATAACTAATTAGTCAAGATTAGCGTTGATGAAATCATATTCCTCGCACTAGCCGTTATGTTNATATTTTGGAAGAAATTTGATTTCCATCTACTTCTGGTTGGCCACTCCTTTGTCTTACCCTTCGAAACCAGAAGATGGAACCAATATGCTCCTGCGAAACATCGATTAAATTCTGCCATATTTTACACCGCTTCAGCCAAGAAGTCACAAATCTTCGAACATTTAGTCAATGAGATTAACTGAAGTTTGGAACTTACATGAAGAACACTGTGACATGACGTCCGAAAGCCGCAATAGCGAAGTCAGAATAGACTTTCATTGCTAGGCAACGATTCAGCAAACCAATTCCCGTGGCAACGAATGCCATTTCCATGTGTAAGCGTCAGTAGAGTGGTCCTTCGTACGGCGGTATCTCGGTGTTCTACATATATGCCCGTGATTCATTATTACAGCAAATAACTTGCACTACAATAATTATAATTATACTTCCATTGTTTTTGTATATCCATGCTTTTTCTCGTTATATCAAAGTAGTTTCAAAATGCCGACATAACATATCAAATAACTTGAGAGTAAAATATTTCTTCTGGCTCAGAATGGTATAATTAGTAAGGCTATTAATAAGGCACAATAGATCACTGTGGTCGCGGTGCAAGGGCCAAGAAAGCCCACCCCTTATACATTCATTCATATACATTCAAGGCTATTAATAGCAGCTTTCTTTACAGAATGCCAAGATTACGTAATACATAACTAATTAGTCAAGATTAGCGTTGATGAAATCATATTCCTCGCACTAGCCGTTATGTTTATTTTTCTTTAAAGTAAAGTAAAGTAAAGTAAAGTAAAGTAAAGGTATCCCTGTAACAAGCCGTGGAGGCCCACAGGCTTGTGAGATGTTGAGGTTCCCACATTTTCTAGACAATCGGCTCATAGATGGCGGCAAGGTTGTCAGCCTTACACTCCGGCCGCCCTTTACCCCCCCAGAAAGATTCCTGGTATTCATTTCTGTTAGAGGCTGAGTCGACCCCAGGGCCATAGTGCGGCTGGAAGGATTAGGTAATTTGTAAAAATTCAGTGATCTCATCGGGATTCGATCCCTCGACCTTCCGGCTTATAATTACCTCAGTGAAGAAAAAAGTAGTAACGATAAATTTATTAGGAGTTTCTCCTCTGTTAACATTGCAGTCATTAGGCAACGGGATTGCAAGGATGTTTTCAGCATTTCCACAAAGAGAGTTTCAACAGGAACGCATGGTTTGTTACTGAGGTACGCTCCTTTGAAATATCCCACACATAAAAGAGACCGGTTCTCTAATCAATAAGTTTTTCTTGGGCACATTTTACATTGAGATCATATAATATGGCGAGGTATTGTCTCTCCGTTTTTCCAGTCCCATATTAAGTTTCTGAAAATGTTGAAGAATTTTAATGCTAAACCACTTTGTAGTGAGAAGAATGCCGTCTTCTGGGATGTGGCGCCGTGTAGATCTTGTGTAAACTGACGTTTCGGCGGAACATATCGCCTCCAAATTCAGGGTAGAAAAATCCGCTGGCGATTGATCAGCGTGAGCAGGTGGCTGCATACTGAAGATGAAGGCGATATATTTCTCCGAAACGTCCGTTCACACAAGATCTAAATGACGCCACATCCCAGAAGACGGCATTCTTCATAGTCACGACCGTGAAAACCTCAAATCCTATACTTTATAGTAGGTTTAGCAATTACCTGAGCACATGTTGAATACTCCATTCAACTTCACTCATCAGTGATAAAATAGAAATATTTAAACAAAAACATTTATTGGTACAAGCATATAGTAGTCTGTTCCCTGATACAGACCATAACCACTGAATAACTCGATAAGTATAAAGTATTTACAAGACCTCGCTAGAATTTGAATGGCGCTGGTTTCAAGTGCAGAACTAAATTAATTCAGCACCCACCACCATTTCATTATAAATATGTTTACCCATACCACAAACTTATTGAGTATTCTATAAAATTCACTCATCTTGGCGCCTTTCATTAATGAAACGTGTTGCTTGCATAATCGAACGGACAAGAAAGGCATGAAAATCGATTTCACGGTTGCTTCAAGGACCGCTTGCTTCTAATTCATTATGAGAATCAACAAGTTGAGAGGTTTTACTTTTAAGGGAGAAGAAGGAGGGGAAGGGGAGGCAGAGGCTTCATTGCGGTAGGCCCGAAGTGCAATGAACTACGAATAATAAAAATGAGTAATTAAAATTCTTGACGTTCAAAATCCACGCACACTCGCCTCTACAACAAACAGAACACAAAACACCTATGAATATACATATCGCTGCAACTGCGCAAATTTAAGTAGAATCCAGCTTGTGTAAAAAATAAGTAACTTTTATATTTCTATATTTTACACACAGTGAAGTGATAGAGTGTAGTGCAGCAGTTTTACATTTATATATGCCTAATGATAGCCTCATACGGCCGTAAAGAAACGTAGAATAGGTGATGTTTAAGCAACAGTCTATGAAGTGTTGCATATACAATATTTTCTTGCTTATATTTATGTATCGTCACATATTTATGAGCGTGACTTATATGACGGGGTTCTGTATTGGATGATTGGATTTATTAACACCTTCTTTTACAATCTGTTATAATCACAATAAATTATAGCTCTATCGATAATTTACCCACTTCGCAAATCACTAGGACAGACTAAGTCTTCTCCCGTCTTTACTAATCGTATCCTTGCAAAGGATTTGTAACCGTCTCACTGTAACTACAGCATATATGAAGTCTTTCACAGGATTTCAACGCACAGCTGAACTGTCAATAATTATTGGCTTCGTTATATAGACTGGGGTCAGACCACAGCACAAAAAACACACCCGTTACCTAACAATGGATATATGCGAACCACATAGAAAATATATCCTGCGACACCAGTTCTATTGTTGGTTGCGTGTTTGCGGGCTTGTTTACCGAGGAGTTCCCTAGCAAGTAGTCTACATGTCACATTGTATTATGTGACGTCATTGAGCATGAGCAAGCCGCACGGAAACAAAGACAACACTGTTGCTGTATTCTGTGACGTCATCGCCTACGCGGAAGTGTGTTTACCGAACCGTTGCCTAGAAACATGTTGCATAGCTCCGTTGTTCTATTGTTGACTACGTGTATTACTTAGCAACGGACGTTTCTGTTTCTCAACCGTTCTCGCATGTAGCAAATGCGCCACAATACGTTGTTTGAGGTTAGTGCTTTGCTGCTAAGAGAACCATTTGCAATACGGACTGACGCTTGTACCTGAAGTGAAATTGCTAGTGACACTTGTAGGAAGGCTCATGTTGTTCAGGCTCTCCTAGCATCGTTTCTATTACGTTCGGGTTATAGGCAAAGATCTCCAATCTCTTCCTTCATTCCAAAGTCCTTTGCTTTCGGCCTCTTGTCAGCTCTTTCCCCTCTTCCCCGAGAAATTCCGATTTCTAGCTGAGTCAACACGTTCTTGATGTGCCGCTTCAAAATTTGAATTCTGTTGCTCTTCTCAGTATCCTTATTCTTCAGGGCCAAACCATTGTAGTAGTTTACATTTTTGTTAACAAATTTTGAGCTTCATTTCCCTACAATTTTCTCTAAGGATTTCATACGAGAAGTTAAAAATTTGTTTGACGAGTTCCATAACAAATCATATTCATATTACTAGGAATTGCCTCACAACAGAGGAAGTACATTGCTCCTTATTTTTAAGGAGTTTCAACCAGACTAGACGGATATCATATAGGAAAGCAGCACTCAGCTCGTTCAGCAGCGTGAGAACCCGAGGCACCAAATATACTTACATTGGAATTCGCATTTACAATTAACACGACAGGAAGTAAGCTGTTACCCCGCGATAAGCTCTAACCTATGCTGAACCTTGCAAGCAGAAATCATTCACGAACACACGTTGTAATTACTGCAGATCTGCTTGTGAAACTGATTCTTCATGTCGGATTTGAGGTCCTCTCAGCGGTGGTTGTGAAGAGTTCTGTTTCCTGTGATATAACGCCGTATAGTCCTTTGAAAGGCAACTGATGTTTCGGAGCAAAATATCGCCTTCATCTTCAGGGTAGAACCAAAGCAAAGAAGAAGCCAGCTTGGAAGGAAGTGGAAATTTCACGCTGATTTCTTGTTTAGCTTAACCTTTGATCCTGAAGATGGAGACGACAATTTCTTCCGAAACGTCGGTTGACGTCCAACGGACTATACGCGTCATATCCCATAAGATACAATTCTTGATTCTTGGTAGATCATATCGCTTCTGTATTACGGTTACTACTACTACTACTACTACTACTGGTACTACTAGTATAGTATTAATAATATGTGTATATTTCCTTGGGCCGGCCGGACACTACGACCGGGGTTTCGAATACCACTCACGGCATGCATGTGTGTCCATGTTACCTATGTGGCCTTTAGATGGGCTCATCCTCTGTCCTTGGGTTTCTGCCATATGTCTAAGGATTCCAAACATTCAGAGTAAATTATGAGTGTGAATATTCTGGACGTCCTACATACCAGCCGCAAGCTGGGGAGGCCGACCATTGCACCATCAGTTAACTGTGTTCAGTTTACTAATATATTTACGACTCTGCATCCCTCGACTTAATGATTATTGTTTTCTTTTGTTACAGGCATGGCGCATAAAGAATGCCTAGAAAATGGAACCTGGTTCCGACATCCCTCTTCCGGTCAAGTGTGGTCAAATTACACTACATGTGTAAACATTGACGACCTTAATGTAAGTCTCATCGTCATCACAATTTAATTGTCTATATTATGATTTCGGTAAGAAGAGCTTAAGTCAAAAATCATTAGTGAGGATATAATGACTAGCGAGCCAGGTACACAAACAGAGATATCGGTCGTACGGAAAAATGTCGTACGATTCTTTTGCCGTATGACCTCCTTCTCACACTAGAGCAACCAAATACATTTCTTTGCTTTCCGACTGTCGTACGGTAGATGTCGCATGTCGTCACGTAAGAAAACTAAGACTACACTTTATATTCTACTTGATGCGACATGAACCGTACGGACGTCGTACGACCGATGTCTCTGTGTGTGTGTGTGTGTGTGTGTAAAGTAAAAGTAAAGTAAAGTGAAGCTGTTCCTGTACCAGGCCGTGAAGGCCCATAGGGTTGTGAGACGTTGAGGGTCCCACATTACCTAGTCAATTGCCTCCAAGATGGCGGTAAGGTTGTCAGCCTTACGCGCCGGCCGCGCTTTACTCCCCAGAAAAATTATTTAATTACGTGCCCTATTCGGTGTAGCGACTGACTACGAGCTGAACGACCGAGGGGTAGGAGTTCGACTCCCAGTAGAGTCAAGAATTTTCTATCCTCCACCACGTCCAGCCCTGCTCTTAGGTCCATCCAACCTCCTGTACAATGGATATCGGGGGCTCTTTACTTGGAGGTAAAGCGGCCTGGGCTTGAAGCTGACAACTAATCGCCAACAAGTGCCGAGGGCAAGAAAAATGTGGATCTGTACATCCATACCCCCATACGCCTTCATGGTATAGTCCTTAATTAGTTAAGCACAGGGACAACTTTATCTTAAGGTATAATGACCTTTATACGAAAAGAGTTATTTGATTAAAGGGATTTATACCAGTGAGTTGCAGGTATTTGTCATACAAAGCCCAGGTTCGGTGCTTGTAACATGTAACTTTCATTGTATAAGAACTATATCTAGCACTTATTATTTTACGAACCCAACTCGCACTACAGAGTGAGCATAAGTGGTCTTAATATTTTTGCTAATTCGTTGTGAACATGTCTGGCAAGATATACATTCCAATTTTCAGATACAAGATTACAGCTAGCAAAGTACTGAATTAACGTGCGCACATGTTGCTATGATTTTTCGTCCTGAGGTACTACATTCAACAAAATGGCGGCATCTATACAAAAAACGAATTTTATCTCGTGGTATAACAAAATCAGATATGTGGAACGAGTGTAGCTAACTGGAAGATGGAATTTGGAGTGAATCCACCGTCTAAGTCATGCATTTGTGCATTTGACTTATATTTCTGTGAGACAGGTTGGCTGTGAAAGTGGAGAGTTCCCTTTGGTGCAAAATGTATGGGCGTAACTTGAAGACGAACTTGATATGTATAGAATTTCATATAGTTCCACAGGTATCGAACACCTTTGTGTGGTAAAATGAACTCTTGACAGTTGTACAATTGTAGTTTAGTATCTAGACGTTCGGAAGCTGTATCTCCGTTGATTGCTTCAAAATAATACTCCTAATGTGTGAAGATCCTATGTGCCCATCATGTAAGTACAGGCTTACACAATTTTGCCGCAATTAAAAAATTTCAGAATTCCATTTAAGCCCTTCTTATAGGGTACTGAAAATTCAACATGTGTAATAATAATATTAATAATTGAATTCAATTCTTTATTATTTACGTGCCAAGTCAACAGCCGCAAGGCTAATTACAGACACAGCACAGTGTAGATAC